CAATATTCTCCAAAGCATTATACAGATTTAAAGCAATCCTTTTAAGGATATCTAAGACATTCTTCAAAGAAATTGATCAAACACTCTTGAAATTCACATGGGACAACAAGCCATACAAGTAGCTAGAGGAATTCTTGGGGGAAAAAAAGTTGAGAGGCATCACCTTCCCCAACCTCAAACTCTACTACAAAGTGGTAATAATTATAAGAGCATGGTATTGGAACAAAGGCAGATCCACAGACCAATGGAACAGGGTTGAATATCCTTACACAAACCTTCAAATGTATGATTATCTAATTTTTATATAGATTAATCTTTGATAGGGCTGGAGCGATAGCACAGCGGGTAGGGCGTTCGCCTTACAAGCGGCCAACATGGCCGACCCGAGTTCGATTCCTCCGCCCCTCTCGGAGAGCCCAGCAAGCTACCGAGAGTATTGGATATGCCAGACACAGTAATAACAAAGTCTCCAATGGAGACGTTACTGGGCCCGCTCGAGCAAATCGACGATCAACGGGAGGGCCTTTACTTTACTTTACTTAAATCTTTGATAAGGGAGCAAGAAATGTGAAGTGGAGCAAGGAAAACCTCTTTAACAAACAGTGCTTGCAAAACAGTACATCTACATGCAAAAAAAATGGGCTCAGACCTCTACCTAACACCATTCACAAAAGTAAGATCCAAGTAGATTAAAGACCTCAACATCAGACCAGAATCCATAAGGTTCATTGAAGAGAAGGTTTGCAAGACCCTCCATGACATCAAAGCTAAAGGTATATTCAAAGATGAAACACCACTGACCAAGCAATTGAAACAGAGATAAACAAATGGGACTATCTTAACCTAAGAAGCTTCTGTACCTCAAAAGAAAGAGTGACCAGAATCCAAAACAGTCTACAGAACAGGAAATGATATTCACCCAATACACATCTGATAAGGGGTTGATATCAAGGATATACAACACACTGGTCGAACTCTACAAGAAGAAAACATCTTATCCCATCAGAAAATTGGGCAATGAAATGAACAGAAATTTTCTAAAAGAAGAAATCCGAATGGCCAATAGGCATATGAAAAAATGTTCTTCAACACTAATCATCAGGGAGATTCAAATCAACACAACAATGAGATATCATCTCACACAGCAGAGACTGGCACACATCCAAAAGAACAAAAGCAATTGGTGTTGGCATGGATGTGAAGAGGAGACTCTCCCTCACTGCTGGTAAAATGTTGACTGGTTCAGCCCTTTTGGAAAACAATATGGATGTTTCTCAAAAAATTGAAATTGAGCTCAATTTGACCCAGCAATACCACTTCCTGGAACATATACCAGAGATGCAAAAAAATACAGTAAAAATGACATCTGCACTTGTATGTTGATTGCAGAACTATTCACAATAGCCAGAATTTGGAAAATCCCAAGTGCCCAAGAACAGATGACTAGTTAAAGAAAGAAACACTGGTACATCTACACAATGGAATACTATGCAGCTGATAGATGAAATCATAAAATTTGCATATAAATGGATGGACATGAAAAGCATCATGCTAAATGAAATGAGTCAGAAAGAGAGGAACAGACATAGAATGACTACACTCATTTGTGGAATATAAAGTAACATAATAGGATACTAACATCTAAGGATAGTAGAGATAATGGCAGGAGGATCTCTCCACAGCTTGGAAGGTGGCCTCAGATGCTGGGTCAAAAGGCAGCAGGGAGAGAGAAGAGACGACCAAGTAAATGATGCTTGGAGGGCTCGCTCAGGATAAGACACATGTGCTAAAAGTAGACTATGGACTGAATATGATGGCCACTTAGTAACTTTATTATGGTCACGGTCCTCCCATTGTTCATCCATTTGCTCAAACGGGCCCAGTAACGTCTCCATCATGAGACTTGTTGTTACTGTGTTTGGCATATCGAGTACGTCATGGGTAGCTTGCCAGGCTCTGCCATGTGGGCGAAATACTCTCGTTAGCTTGCCGGGCTCTCCAAGAGGGGTGGAGGAATCGAACTCGGGTCAGTCATGTTGGCCGCTTGTAAGGCAAACACATTACCGCTGTGCTATCGATCACAAGGTCAACCTAAAGTAACTTTTTTGCAAACCACAAAACCCTAAAGGAGAGAGTAAAAGGGAATTTGCCTGCCACAGAGGTAGGGGCAGGGATGGGGTGGGAGTGTTGGGAGGGCTACTGGGAATGTTGGAAGTGGAAAATGGGCACTGATGAAGGGACAGGTACTCAATAATTTTATGACTGAAACATAAGCACGAACGTTTGTAATTCTATAACTATACCTCATGTTGATTTATTAAGAATTTTTTAAAAGTTTGTCACTATTAAAATTATAGAACATAAATTCAGGAATTTTTTTAAATGCCCAACATAAATAGATACTGCAAAAATGGTCATCAGACTCAAAGCAATACACTAATATTTTGATCACATTCTTCCACAACTTAGAAGAAATGTTATTAAAATTGTACAAAACCATAAAACTCCTAAGGTAACCATGTCATTTCTGAGAAAGCAAATGGATGGTTTTTCATTCTCTGATTTTAAATTATACCATAAAACAACATAATTTAAAATATGTCTTGCTACAAGAATAAAGACAGGCACTCAAACCAATAAAATAGAACTGAACATTCAGAGATAAGTATTCAGTATATGGAGACAAGTCTGTAATTGTTGGATAACATTGGTTTGTCATGTCTCCCTGGTCTCAGGGAGCTTAGGTTTACTGGGTTACATCATTCACACTCTGTTTGCCTTTAAATTCTCTATACTCTGCTTCTCCAACTGGCAATCACCTTTTCCCCCTAAGCAGTACCTGTGACTTGTAAAGTCAAATTCTTTAGAAATCTCTGATTTTGTATTTGTAAGTGAAATATTGCTTTTATCCTTCCCTTATGACCTTTTTCATAGTTTACATCAAAACAATGTCCTTTTTGTATAGACACAGAAAGACAGTTAACATTTTGGTTTTGTAACTTGGGAGTTAATTGACTGTGAATAATAGTCACTCCTAGGTAACTATTTTCTCAACTTAAGCCTCAGTTTCCCTTAGTTCCTAGAACTTCAAAAGCAGGGCCCCAACAAGAGACTGGGTGAACTGTGGGCAAGCTGTAAGCTACCCTGGCATCAAAATAGGCAAGGCCAAGAGCCAAAATACTTAGCTATAAGTTAAGAGAATAGTCATGTACGTTAAAGGTCACTGGTTAAAGAAATTTTGGTATATCTACACAATGGAATACTATGTAGCTGTTAGGAGAGATGAAGCCATGAAATTTGCTTATAAGTGGACAGATATGAAGAGATCATGCTAAGAGAAACGAGACGGAAAGAGAAGGACAGATATAGAAGGACTGCATTCATTTGTGGAGTATAAAATAACATAACATGAGACTGACATCCAAGGACAGTAAATACAAGAGTCAGGAAGATTGCTCATAATTGGAAACCTGACTCATGAGTGCGGGGAGAAGGCAGCTGGACTAGGGAAGGGATCACTAAGAATATGATGGTTGGAGGGATCATTCGGGAGGGGAGATGTGTATGTTGAAAGTAGATAAAGGACCAAACGTGATAGCCTCTCAGTATCTGTATTGCAAACCATGATGCCCCAAAGTAGAGAGAGATTATGAGGGAAATTGCCTGCCATGGAGGCAGTGGGAGGGTGGGAAAAGAGGGTTCTACTGGGGACATTGGTGGTGGGGAACGTGCACTGGTGGAGTTTTTGGCGTTTGATCATTGTGTGATTGTAACTCAAACATGAAAGCTTGTAACTCTATCTTACAGTGATTCTTTTTTTATTTTTTATTTTTTAAAAAGCATGGTCATCATAATCCAAAGAATAACAATTGGAGTGAAGTTCATGCACAATTCAATCAACCTAATCAGTGTCTGAATAAATAGCAGTACTCCTACATAATAAAAAAAAAAGAATAACAACTGGATAGACCCTGCTAGGATTGGGAAAGACTAACCAGGCCTGAGCACTGTAGTCTGGGATCTATAGCGAGATGTCCTTAGGAGAGCCACCCTACAAGCTTAATTATCTCTTACTGTGTCCATACAAAATAACTAATATTAAGAAGTAGAATTAAGATGAATGTTTAAATGGTTGTTGGACTGGGGCTGGAGAGATAGCACAGCAGGTAGGGTGTTTGCCTTGCACGCCGCCAACCCGGGTTTGATTCCCAACATCCCATATGGTCTCCGAAGCACCACCCGGAGTAACTCCTGAGTGCAGAGCCAGGAGTAACTTCTGTACATTGCCGTGTGTGACCCAAAAGGAAAAAATGGTTGTTGGACTAAAAAACGGAGAAATACACCCCTAGATGGTATTTCACCCTTGAGCCTTGAGCGGATCTCCTACCTGCAGATCTTTGTCATATCTTAGAGAGCCTCCCCCTGGAAGGAATGTCATATGTTGATTTTGCTACCTGACCTAGTTGTAGTCGCTCCCCCAAACTTAAGGAGGTAGGGAGAAGACCAAGGTTGCAGCTGCAGCTGTGAGAAGGAGTGTGGAGACACCAGCATGGGGGATAGGAGGAGATAAGAATGAGGGGCAGTGTGAGACTGGAATGGGGAGCTTAGTGAGACTGGAACAGTCACGTGGGGAGAATGGAATAAATGGCAACTGATCATCAATCAGTCTGGTGGCCCTATACCCTCCTTCATACATCTGTTGGAGGTGATGATTGGCCAGGGTGGGGAAGCAGCTCATGGCCACTAAAAGCACATAGTGGGCAAGAGAGACCACACCAGTACAGCTGATCACTTATTTATTTTGTGATTACACATGTAAAAAAGGTGCAAAGTGTGCAAAGTGAGGCAAGGAAAACCTTTTCAACAGTGGTGTAGGTAAAGCTTTTCACTGGGTTTCCAACCTCATCCATACTTCGATGTCCAATATAGTACCTTTATAACTATATTCAAGTATATATCGATATTCAAGATAGTGTAGCTGGACTTCCGGTGGCGTGAGGGGCGAGCTGGGGAGTTGGTGAGTTTCTCTTCGATCAAATATGGCTAAGAGCTTGCGGAGTAAGTGGAAAAGGAAAATGCGGGCTGAACAAAGAAAAACGAATGCCCCAAAGGAACTCAGCAGATTTAAAAGTATTCTTAAAATAGACACTGATGTTATAGTGAAAGATGTTCAAGAGATAGCAATTGTGGTGGAACCCCAAAGTTGCCAGAAGATTGAATGTGCAGTAAAGGATGCAAAAGATGACATGAAAATGGAGATTGACATTAAGAGAAACAAGAAGAGTCTTCTAGATCAGCATGGGCAGTACCCTATCTGGATGAACCCGTGGCAGAGGAAAAGACTGAAAGCAAAGCGAGAGAAAAAGAAAGGCAAAAGCAGAGCAAAAGCAATTAAGGGTTTGGCCTGGTAGCCTCTTAAAATATTGAGAAATACCATATAGGACAGTTCGTTGATAAATGTGTACACTGATTTCAGCTTCTACCAAATGAAAACTCTGGTTTTAACTTGACCTTTTTCTTCAGTTCGTAATTTCCCACTTTTTTTGAAACTTGAATAAAATGTTTCCTTTGGTGAATGAAATCTATATTGATATTATAACTGGATACGGTCCGATATACAAATCAGCAAAATTCTATCCTGTATTAGTGTGACTTTTTTGTTCTTAGTACAGATAAAACATGTCATACTGACAGACTTGAGCTAACTAAAATTTTAAAACTTAATTTTAAAATATAAAAGTCTTCTCTGGATCAGAAAGTACAGGGAGTAGGGTGCTTGTCTTGCACTCAGCTGACCTGTCTTCAATCCCTGGTACCCCATATAGTTTCCCAAACCTACCAGGAGTTATCCCTGAACACAGTGTGGCACAAAATTTTAAGTCTGTAGCTGTGGCCCTGGTTTGAATCCAAACATCCCATATGATGGTCCCCTTACTACCCAGCACTGTCAGGTGTGTCCCCCTCCCCCACTCTGGATCTTCTAAGTAGCAATATTTTGGAGCTCTGGTGTCCTCTAATTCAAAATAAAAGACGTTTTATGTGTGGTATTTGAAGAGCTTTTCGTCAATAAACTTTTAAGGTTTCCAGTAAAAAAAAAAGATAGTGTAGCTTACGAGAGAGTTCTTAAGGTATAGATAAGGGAAACTGGGTTCTCAGCTTCATTCTACATCAATCATTTTAATATGGATGGGGGAGGTGTGATTATTAAACTTTTTACAAAACAAGAAAATGGTCTCCTTTAAAGTTTGGGGGTTTTGCTGTTGGAGTCACTGTGTTCCTCATTACTTTCTTATCAATTAATTAATTAATTATAAACTAGATAAGATTTATTTACTTTTCAGGGACAGTTTCTATTCACATCATAAGTGTCTGAGTATTCCAAGTTTTACAATGTTGTTGTACCTTCTTTTTGGCTTAGATTTTTGTTCTAAGTGGCTGACATATTGCTCCAAACAATGTAGATGAATTATAGAAAAGATTTAAAGGCCTGCACTGTGCTAAAGGATTTCACAATATTTCTGCAGAAGTTATAAATATTAGCACACCTTTTTGTGAAATAAGTTTGTAGACACAATCCCTTTCTTAGTTAGTCATATAGCAAACTAAACTATATATTCCTTCCAAAGAAACATGGGAACCAACATAAAGCAGGAGATAATGAAGAATAGCAATTCTAAGAATGCAAAACATAAATCCTAAAAGATTTATGAAAGAAAACTTAAAATGTAACCCTTCCCTCCATCACCACCAGCAATTCAATTATTTTATAGATTTTCAGTGGTAGTTGCATAATGATATATCTCTAAGAAGATTAAAACAGGTGAGTGAAATGACCCTAACTTGATAAACACTTCAGCAGTAATTTGTGCCTAGTTTTTTTTTTTTAGAGTAGTTTTCTACTCAGAATAGAGATAAAGAGAATTGACAGTTGGTGAGTGTTATCTACAGAACCCATCTCTTGGGAGATAGCTGTGTAAATAGAAGACAACTCAAGATTCCTAAAGTAGATGAACTGAAAGTCAAATTCAGACCTTCACACACGTGCACACACACATGCACACAAAACAAACCTTTGCAATTGTATGGGGTATAAATCTCAACTAAGAAGTCGTTTACTTAATGATTGATAAAAAATAAACACTTCAATCTGAGTGATGAATCAACAAGAAAACAGTGCAAGTGTTTGAGAAACAAAGTTTAGATATCTCAGAAAGAACAAAATTGTTAAAGTTTATCTTCGAGACTTATTTTATACAATTTTGACTGATTAAAAGATATTTCACCTAAAAAACGTCACTGGAAGTTGGCAAAAAATTTAAAATAACTTTCTATCGTACAAAACTTCTAACATTTCTTATGATTGAGCCATGTGTAATTATCTTGTTCCCATCTCAGGAAAAAACAAAACATGCACAAATTAAGATAGATTCAACTTTATCATTTCTATGAATTTACATTTATGTCCACACACTCCCTTTACCTGATGATTCTGAAACTGAACAGAATGGATTCACTTTAAAATATTATGATTGGGGGGTATAGTGCAGCCTGTGCATGCGGGGTGAGTGCATCAGCAACCTGATGGAGCCTGAAGGCTTCCTGATACCCCAAAATTACCACTGCGCTTTTGGCCAGACCCCAAAAACTTTGGACCAAGTTTCCCAAGAAATTAAATGGTCAAAAGTTCGTTGTGTGAGAAGCACATCCACAATCCACCTCTGGCTTAACTATACAAACTCATTTATTGTCTTCATTTCAGGGACCCATAAATAAATCTCGAAAGAGACCAGAAGCCTCTGTTAATCTTGGACCTGTGCATGGCTGAACAGACTGGGGTAAATCAGAGGTGGGTGGATTAGCCTGGTGCCCACCCAAACAGAGCCATGGCAACTGCTTGCTCACACAATTCAAAATTGCCACATGCCCCACACAGACTTCACTACTGAGGACAGATTTCACCAAGATATTAACCCGCTGAAAAAATGGGTATGAGGGTTTTGTGACTGAAATATCCAGGCTTTCTCAAGGTCAGGATGGGTTACTTCCTGCTACCTCCCTGTGATTTTGGAGGCAGTTACATACACACCCAAAAGCTGCCACCAGTTAAAAAGCTACTCCATCCTTACCATCCTGATAAAAATACTGAATGCCCTGAACAAACACAGTGACCTCTTAGTACCTATATTGCAAATCATAATGCACAAAAGGCAAAGGAGAATGAGAGTAAGAAGGAAAGTGACTCCCATAGGGAAGGCTGGTGGGGTAGCGTGGGGTGTTGGCGGATAGTGGGAACGAAACAGGGGGCAATGGTGATAGAGAAGGTACACTGGTAGAGGGATAAGTGCTGGATCATTATAGATCAAAACCCAATTATGAACAGCCTTTGTAAGTGTCTCAGAGATCACTTGTATAACTTCACTTGTCATCTCTTTGTTCAACGATTTGCTCCAGCGGGTGCCAGTAAAGTCTCCATTTGTCCCTGTCGCATGCTAGCATAGCCTAATAGTGTATTGGGGCTCTTTCAAGGTCAGCGGAATGAGACCCATTATTGTTACTGTTTTTTGGCATATTGAATATGTCACAGGCAGCTTGCCAGGCTCTGCTGTGTGGGAGGGATACTGTCTGTAGCTTGCTGGACTCTCCGAGAGGGAGAAACTGCATCACTCTCTTCTGGGAGCTTTGTTTCATAGTCTATTGATCTTGGCCATTGATGAGATTACATGACGCCAGTTGCCATTTGTGGGTGTGACTGCCAAGCTACTGGAAAATGTGGGATCTGGGTGGATGAGGCCCAATCCCGATCTAAGCAGGCTTGGAGATCTCAGCCATGGGTCCTGCATACCTGGGTTCCTCTGCAGGTTCCTTCATGTGTGAGGCTCTTCTGAGCGTGTGCAGAGTGACCTTGAGCATGGCTGAGGCTGGGTTCTGGAGGTTTTTGGCTGCCAAGGTTCTCCTTGGGCAGGGAGGGAAACTCAACCCGCCCCCTTCTGAGGGGCCCCAGTGAAGACAGCATGGCGCAGGGGCTTGTGGTGGCCAAGGGTTAATAGCAATGTCACTGTTTGATCCTTCCATGTCGGCACTTCCTATCATTGTGAAGCAGAATTCACCAAGCATTGGAACACACCCACTTATAGGGAATGTGAGCTAGGTTTAGACCATCATGAGACAGGTTAGTTTTAAACTACTGATAATGTCTTTGTCTCACAGATATTCAATTAAAAAAACTTTTAAGTAATGTGGAGTTCCTGCCCATTTCAGTCAGCTTAATTTGTAGCTGAATAAATAGCAGTACTCCTACATTAAAAAATAAAATGAAATATTATGAGCAAAACAATAAAACATAAAAAAAATTTATCCATTAGTTATATACTGTACCTATTTACCAAGTAATAATTTAGTTAACCAATAACATATACATTTGATCTTTGCTCTCTGTTGACAGGGATATGAGGAGTTGATCTTGTAATAAAAAAGAATTTCTTTTAGACTTTCTTAATTTGGCAAAGGAAGATCAATAGAGTAAAATTTTTTTTAAAACACAGTGCTATGTTTAAAGTTATTTTTAATTCCACAAATGAGTGGTGGGAAATCCCATAGAAAATCTCTTGGCAAATCAGTAAATATTGTTTAGAAGAGGTAGCTGTTGCGCATATTATTTAAAGACTTAAACTATTTCTTCAGAGCAATACATAAAGCGAATTCTTTGCAAAGGAAATCAATGGACAAGGCAACTTTTTTTTCAAGCAGGAACTGTCCATCTTAGTGCAGAAACAAATTCCCATAGACACAAACAAATCTGTTTAGTACACTCTAAAAACTCCTGGTTTATTTTGGATTAAAATTCTTATTCATCGTAGTACTATAATTTGGGGCAAATTATTGAAATTCTCCAGATTTCAGATCCTATTTTGTAAAGATATGGGAATCTCATCTAATTTATAGACTTTTCTCACACACACACACACACACACACACACACATGCCTGCTCACAAGCACACACACACACACACACACACACACACACACACACAGCAAGATGCTTTTAACAGGATCTGTCCAATAATACAAGATCATTAAAAAAAAAAAAAGAAAAAGAACAATAACAGAAACCCATTTTATTCTGGCTTCTCTGCTACGGGTCTATTTTTACAAATAGATAACCCATGTGCTTTTATAGGTGGTCTCCCAATGGTCCTGAAACAGAAAGTTCCTACTCAGTGTGAGGGGAAGATTTAGCAGTCACCAGTAATTCCTTTAGGTGACTCCTTGATAGCCATGTGTTTCATTCTGGGTTTCTCTTGCTCATTTTTATATTATATCTAGTTCATCTTGTGACTATCCAGATGTTTTTTAGGAATGACTGAATAGAGACCCAGTCTGCTTATTGCTGCAGAGAAAGCTGGTATGCTGCTCAAGGTCTGGTAAGACTTTGGTTTGATCACTGGCATTTGTAAATTAAAAAGATAATAATAATAATGACAAAAATACATGGAAATAAATAGCAGTGGAATATACAAACCCCCACTGTTAAAGTGCT